ATTTTTACTTATTGCTTCTTTAGTTTCCGTTAGCTGACTTTTTTTTTTTTCAACATTTGGATATAAAGGAATTATACTTCTAAAAAGTATCAAAATTTAAGGACTGTTACATTAAAATGATCTTCAAGGGCTATTATTCATCCTTGCTTCTCTCATATTTGACTCACCTATTGATGCTCAAACTTCCAAATATAGTCAAAATCCAACCATTCCTTTCACAACCACCCCACTACCCACCCCCAAGGGAATCACTGCCATCTTTCACTGTAGATTATTACACACTCTCCTGCGTCCTTTCAAAATGGAAATTATCACATCCTCTACTCTCACACCCTCCAAAGGCTCCCTAAACAAGTCCAACAGAACATGGAAGCCCTTCGCTGGCCACAGGCCCCCTACAGTGTGGCCACCTCCACCCCCTGACCTGGCCTCCTGCCATTCTCATCCTGGTTTACCCTGCTCCTGCCACACTGGCCTCCTTGCATGACTTTGCACCAAGCGACCTTGATTCTGACACATTTGCTTGGGAAACTCCTTCCCCACATAGCCCCTCAGCCAATTCCCAAAGTGCCTTTCAAGATTTCTGCTCAGATCTAAGCTCTCAATGGGGACATCCTGGACACCTGTCCATTGTCACAACCCAGCCTCTACCCCCAGGATTCCCAATCTCCTCACTCTCCCTCTCTAGTGCCACTGATAGTGCACAAGTTTACTTCATATGTTGACTGTTGACAATGCATCTCCTTCCACTACAAGTGTGGCTCCATGCAGAATGTGAACCATTACCTGCTTTATTCACTGATGTGCCCCAAGTAGCAAGAAGAGGGGTCCACAATACTCCAGGAACCCCTCTTAAATGAATGAATGAGCAGAAAAGGACAGATAAGTTTATCAGATAACACTTTTTAAAAAATTAAGAAAATACATGGAGGAGATTTTTCGTGATGCTTATAGCTCTTAAATCACTTTGTAACTTAGAAAATCGGGCTTGCAACGTGAATGAAGCTTTTCTTGCTCTCTTATAAATTTCAAGGAATCCTGGATAATTATTTCTACAAATAATCTTTTAAAGGGAAACTTACAGATCCCCATCTATTTTGTTTTGCGGTTTTTTTGTTTTGTTTTGTTTTTCCTTTTGTTTTTGTTGGGGGGTGGGGAGCCCGGGATTAAATTCAGGGGCACTCCCCAACTGAGCCACATCCCCAGCTCTATTTTTTGCACTTTATTTAGAGACAGGGTCTCACTGAGTTGTTTAGTGCCTCACCATTGCTGAGGCTGGCTTTGAACTCGTGATCCTCTTACCTCAGCATCCTAAGCTGCTGGGATTACAAGTGTGCGCCACCATATCCAGCCCCTATCTATTTTGAGTCTTTTAATAAGTCTGTGGAAAAAATAACCCATTTCTAATTCCTTTGAGGATAAACAATACTGTAAAGCCTGCTCACAATGAAGGAACATGAACCAAACCTCCTCTTCACGACAGGAGGATCCCTAAATGTCTTCATTCCCTTGTGGAATGTCATTCAGCCCATTAGGAGCAGAAGCCCAAAATGGTTTGGTGTTCAAGTTTCACTGCTTTTCTTTACAACTATTAGAATGGATGTACATTGAATTGATTCTTTTCAAGACTTAAAATTTTTTGAGATGATTTTCAATAATAATAATATTTAATAATATTAATTATTTAATATTAATAATAGTTGAGTTCATCATCATGAAATGAAAATCCATTACCCAAAATATTTTCTAAAGCAAGAACTTAGAAAAAAATTATTTTTCACCCTAGGCTTGTATATCCAATTCATGGCTAACCTATATCATGTTCAGCCAAACAATACCTAGTTTCATGTACTAGATAAAAGTTACCAGGATTTCTTAAAACTTCATCCGTTTACATTTTAAAAAGCTCAATGTTATTTTAACTAAGTGCCTTGCTTGTCTGTTTTTCAAAACAAGAGAAAACAAAAACAAAATCTGCCTGAAAAATATGTGAGCAGGAGGAACATTCTGTTACTAAGGGGGAAAAATCTGATTATTCAACATTTATCGGACTATTTTCCAATATATTTCTTGAGGAAATGTTAGCTTTAATGGACTGTCAAAAACTGATCAACTATAGAAGAAAAAGTTGGCTCCGATCTACATATTGTGGGGGTCGGGCTCCAAATTCCTTAATAGGACACCCATAGCACAAAAGTTAATAACAAGAATCAACAAATGGGACTTACTTAAACTGAAAAGTTTTTTCTCAGCAAAAGAAACAATAAGAGAGGTAAATAGGGAGCCTACATCATGGGAACAAATTTTTACTCCTCACACTTCAGATAGAGCCCTAATATCCAGAATATACAAAGAACTCAAAAAATTAAACAATAAGAAAACAAATAACCCAATCAACAAATGGGCCAAAGACCTGAACAGACACTTCTCAGAGGAGGACATACAATCAATCAACAAGTACATGAAAAAATGCTCACCATCACTAGCAGTCAGAGAAATGCAAATCAAAACCACCCTAAGATACCATCTCACTCCAGTAAGATTGGCAGCCATTATGAAGTCAAACAACAACAAGTGCTGGAGAGGATGTGGGGAAAAGGGTACTCTTGTACATTGCTGGTGGGACTGCAAACTGGTGCAGGCAATCTGGAAAGCAGTATGGAGATTCCTGGGAAAGCTGGGAATGGAACCATCATTTGACCCAGCTATTGCCCTTCTCGGACTATTCCCTGAAGACCTTAAAAGAGCGTACTACAAGGATACTGCTACATCAATGTTCATAGCAGCACAATTCACAATTGCTAGACTGTGGAACCAACCCAGATGCCCTTCAATAGATGAATGGATAAAAAAAAAAGTGGCATTTATACACAATGGAATATTATACAGCACTAAAAAATGACAAAATCATGGAATTTGCAGGGAAATGGATGGCACTAGAGCAGATTATGCTTAGTGAAGCTAGCCACTCCCTAAAAAACAAATACCAAATGTCTTCTTTGATATAATGAGAGCAACTAAGAACAAAGCAGGGAGGAAGAGCAGGAAGAAAAGATTAACATTAAACAGATACATGAGGTGGGAGGGAAAGGGAGAGAAAAGGGAAATTGCATGGTAATGGAGGGAGACCCGCATGGTTATGCAAAATTACATATAAGAGGTTGTGAGGGGAATGGGAAAATAAACAAGGAGAGAAATGAATTACAGTAGATGGGGTAGAGAGAGAAGATGGGAGGGGAGGGGAGGGGAGATAGTAGAGGATAGGAAAGGTAGCAGAATACAACAGTTACTAATAGGGCATTATGTAAAAATGTGGATGTGTAACCGACGTGATTCTGCAATCTGTATTTGGGGTAAAATTGGGAGTTCAAAACCCACTTGAATCAAATGTATGAAATATGATATGTCAAGAGCTTTGTAATGTTTTGAAAAACCAATAAAAAAAAGAAAAAAAAACTGATCAACTTAGAAGATATTAGGAAATAACATTTGATGGATGACTCAGAACATTCTAAAGAATCTTTAAAGTTTAACAGCCTGGTTCACTGCTCTCATAAGCATCCCTTCATTTATCTGTTACCAAACAAGCCCTCCATGAGCTTTGGCTCTGTGGATGGACAAGCACAACAGACAGTGGAAAGGGCACTCACTCCCCAGCCAGAGTAGCCTCGATTCCCCGACAGGCGCTGTCTGCTGGGGGTCTGGCCCTGCCACTCAACACCTCTGAACCTGTTTCCTAACCATAAGACAGTGACATCTACTTCCTCGTGGCCTCAGCAGAAGAAAGCATTTCTTAATCCAGGAAAAAAATACATTAACCAAATGGAAGCAATGGATAAATCTGGCACATTAATGTCAAGAACATCTTTTATAAAAAGAAAGTATGAAGGAGTTTAAAGAGTTAACAAAGTGAAATTTAATCACTTTTAGCTGACAAATATATATTTTATTTGACATTAATGCACATGACTAGCATAAATAATCCTAATATATGTAATAGTAAATTAAGAAATGCTATAAATTAAATATAAAAAGAGGAACAAGCAGCAACTTAAAATACCCAGAGGCTTAACAGACACTTTGCAAAAGAGAAAATCCAAATGGCCAATAAACATAAAAGATGTCATTTGAACAGTATTAAACACATAATGATGCCATCAGTCATCAGTAAAATGCAAATTAAATAATGCTATTTCTCAAAGTTGTTAGAAGATTAAATTATCATATATTTAGGTCATTTACATAAGTCCTAATACATAGTAGATATTTTTTTTAAAAATCCTACTGAGGCTGTAGCTCAATGGTAGATCTTATGCATAGCATACCTGAGGACCTGGGTTCAACCACACATACACATAGAAAAAAAGCAAATTAATCAAATAAATAAAAAACATAAATCTACTTCCTCAGTGATCCTTCTCTGACCCTTTCTAAGGGACCATCCATCCAAATATGAAGCAATTTTCTAGTCTTACTACCTATAAATAATACCAACACACACAAAGCTTAGAATCAAATTTTGATTGCTCTCTAGGGATTGCAAAATTATTCCACACACAATCTTAATGCAATAACCCCATTCTTGACTTCCTATTTTTCTGACTCTACTTTTTTTAATGCTATTTTTTATCCCCTTTAAATTCATTTTGCATCTTATTCTACAGGCACCTAGGTAAGGTGCTTTAAATTCTTTCTGAGGACAAACAGGGTATTAAAAAACATTGCAAAGCAAGTCTTTCTAAGTATTGGATTACTACTTAGACACCCTTTACACTTTCATGAATCCTGTGACTGGATACTTCTGTGCATCCTGCACAGATGCACCGTGTTTGTTAGATCAGTGAGTAGCTATAGAGAAGGCTCAGAGTCCAGCACCTTGAGAACCCACTTGCTCTTTGGCAGATACCTTAATTTAGCCTGTTCAAAAAATTGTATCAGGCAAAGTAGTTTCTACCTACTTGGAAGGAAAGACTGACCAACAGACTGACGTCTGCACCTACCAAAGGAGAGGAAGTGGCAGAGTAAGGAGGGGGCGGAGTCTCCGTGGCTATATCAGGATCCTCCTGCTCACTTTCACTGTAGCATTCTGTAACAAAAAGGAAAACACTTCATGTTTAAATGCTGCCATCATTTATTCCATAATGTATGAGCATAGGTTTTTCTCCATCTAGCTATTGCAATTTCAATCCAATTCAGAAAAAATACAAATCTAGTGAAATACTTGGTACAAAGGAATTACTGAAGATGGAGAAACAAATGGCCCCTCTGGGTTTCTGCTCTCCAAGAACATCCCACAGGCATGAAGAGGACCAACCAGAGCTCAGGGAAAATAGAAGAACTCCTCAAAGAAAGAATTCAAACACTAAGAAGAAGGTCAATGGGGAAATGTTTGATGATAGGAAACGTCATGAATTGAGTGAGCTGAAGCTGGCTGGGCACCCAAGCCATCAGGAGGGGGCCAACAGGGAAGGGACCAACAGGCCAAGTCAGCGGGGAGAACCGGATATATAGAGACCCCCCCCAAGGCACACTGAAAATGAAGCTTTTGGAAGTTTGGGGGAAAAGATCTTATTTGACGAGATTGCATTGGACTCCATGGCTTTAAGTCATTTGCCACTGTTTTCTTTCTAAATTTAAGATTGTACAAATTTGTTATCAAAAAATAAAACTCCCTATTTCCAATTCCTTAGTCTAGAATTGTCCCTGGATGTGGTTTGAGCATTTCAGGGACAGTCTCAGTTCAGTGGCCCTGGCAGCTGGCAAAGCCGCCCTCTTCTGCACAGCAAGGAGTAATTGCATCAGGAAGAATTGGACTCCCGCAGCTTTTGAACCCTGAGAGCTACAGAGTATGCTAAAAATATGGCCTGTGTCCCAATCTGACCTTCAGGTTCCCAGTACAATCTTGGGGTAATCACTCTCAGCACACACCTGGCGGAAATGTTAAAATATCAGAGAGGAAACAGTGGGATGAAAGTTATCTGCCTAGATCATGACAAGTTCACGGGTATGAGTAAGAATTCAGTTAAGTAGAGCAATAAAACATTTGCATTGGCAATTGCCTGAGATATCAGTGAAGCCTACAGCTGCTCAAGTGTGGGTGAAGTGTGAAATCATTCAGAGCCGGCCTGGGAAGCTCTCGTCTATGTTGGTGAAGTCTGTGTGAATGTGTCTGTCTCTACACTCAGATCATTTCAAATGCCAAACTGTTTCCTCAGGATCAGACTATATATAGAATTTGATATTGTTTTTCTCATCTTAGTCTAATTCTCTGGCTACTTTTTCAGAACTTTAGAATGGAATATACCTTCATCCTTTGTAGTGGATTCAAGATGGATCACAGCTATTCCAAGTTTATTTAACCACCTAGGATTCAAGTAGAAAGTAAATGTTAGACCAAAGAGATTGGCCCCCTTCCCTCACACCTTCCCCTTGGACCACCTGAGGGAGGGTCTTGTGACAGACTCCATCATGAAAGTCAGTCCTAATTCAACTGTCAGCCTGAACATTTCAAGAATCAGCATAAGTTTAGGGCATCAAAACAGAAGGCTGGACATGATGGTGCATGTCCAGCAGTTCGGGAGGCTGAGGCAAGAGGACAACAAGTTCAAGGCTAGCCTCAGTAACTTCACAAGACACTAAGCAACACAGCGAGGTCCTGCCGCTGAATAAAATATAAAAAAGGCTGGGGATGTGGCTCAGTGGTTAAGCACCTCTGGGTTCAATTCCCACTACCAAAAAACAAAATAAAATAAGGCCTCTAGTTTCATACTTTCCTTTCAGGGTATGCTCTGTGAGATAAGCAAGCTGGCCATCATGCAGTTGCTTAAAGCAGGCAGCTAAATTAGGTATTCTAAATACATAAACAAATATACCTTTTATAATTATGCACTTGAAAATTTTAGTAACCATCAAAAAATTTACCACTGAATGTAGTAACTTGTTCATTAAAGTTATATCTCTATCACTTTTAATGATGTCAATTTATTTTAGAAAATATAAAGACCATCGATTTAAAACCAGGAAGATTACCACATCAATCAGTAAAAGATCTGCCCCCAAGACTGAAAGTTATTTCTAAATTGGGGAAATCTATTCCTTGAAAAATTTTACATAAAATAAAAATTGACCATCTTCTCTATTCTATTGATTTCTCATCTTATTGACAATGAAGTCCAATTAAACTTCAATAACAAAAACAGTACTACTAGGCAAACCCTAAGGAACTCATATAAACTCATGGTTTATAACTTGAGGCCATAGTAGTTCCTTCTCAAGATTTTCGCTTTGAATTCACTTTAAAACACGAATTTTAAAAGATAAGAGACAGCAATGGGTCTATTTCATATATTCCTAATTATGTAATGTTATGCTTAAAGGTAAAATGTGGTTTGGAGGCAGTGACTACCGAGGTGATTTATTTCTACTTTTCTGTGTGTTTTAAAATATTCATACTGTGTATTCTATATTTTTTTTTTTTTGAGAAATGATCATTTCACAGTGACCTAAGTCAATCAATAGGAACAAAATAACAGCAACAGTGCTCTGTATCTCTGGACTCTTGTTTACTTTCATTGCTTCTAGTCCTACAACGCCTCATGCCTCACTCAGCACCCTGCACTCTCATTGTGGTCCACAGATTGCACACTCTGACCCATAACTGTCAACTATTTAGAAATCCTTACCTGATCATCAGCCAACAATGACCTGACTATATTCATTATTTTTTTTTCCTTTAATTTTTATTGTTGGTTGTTCAAAACATTACATAGTTCTTGACATATCATATTTCACACTTTGATTCAAGTGGGTTATGAACTCCCATTTTTACCCCGTATACAGATTGCAGCATCACATCGGTTACACATCCACTGTTTTACATATTGCTATACTAGTGTCTGTTGTGTTCTGCTGCCTTTCCTATCCTCTACTATCCCCCCTCCCCTCCCTATTCATTATTTTTCAACAGAAAAAAATAACAAATTTAATTTTCAAAATACATAAAAGAGGAGAATCTACAAGAAAAAAGATGAGCCCCAAATGACCAAGACTGGACCAATATCAGAGCCCAGACCCTGCCACAGAAACCCCAAAATGTTGATCAAATCCCAGTTGAGAACTATGAAAAACAAACAGAAAAAAATCACAGAAAAAAAACCTCAATAGTTAATACATAAATGGAAAAGTTATCCAGTCTCAAGAGCATTTTAGAAAATGCATAGCTAAACACAGGAAAATATATTCACTACTGGATTGGAAAAGTTAAAAAATGTTGATTTCTAGGGCTGGTGTTGTGGCCCAGGGTAAAGCACTCACCTAGCACGTGTGAGACCCTGGGTTTGATCCTCAGCACCACATAAAAATAAATAAAATAAAGATATTGTGTCCAACGACAACTAAAAAAAATTAAAGAAGAAAAAATATTGATTTCTAGTGCTTAGGAGAAAATGGAACAATGGACATTCTCATTCATTGTTGGATTAAACATGAAAATCAATACAGCCGATTTTGAGTAGGCAATTTGATGTTATTATTCAAAATTGAAATATCCACCCTTTTGTCCAAAAATTAAATTATAAATGTCTATTTTATACCTATAAACATATCTTCATGTACAGAAACATGGGAAAATGTTAACTGCCAATGAGGCTTATAATAGCAGAAAGAGAAAAACACTGAGACAATATAATTGTCCACTAAAAATAAAATGGATGCATAAATTATGATGTTGATTTTACTGACACCATGTTATAATGAAGCCACTAAAAGACTAAGGGGATAGCTTATAATAACCTAGAAAATCCTAATATATGATTCATGGAAAAGACCAAGTATCAAATATGTTTAGTTGTTCTAATATATTTTTAAAATTATATATTTGTGTAAGTGCATAAATTGCTATGATAGAAAAGTGTCAGGAAGAATATACATCATGTTATTAAAAGTAGTTAATGCCAGGCAGAGAAGTTGAATTGGAAGGTAAAAGAAGAATATGGGCAGTCTCTCATTTTTCCTATTTCTGCATTGTTTGATTTTTTTTACAAGAATGTTTTATGTATTACTTAAGTACAAGTAATAGTAGTTACTATTAAAGATTACATCTTAAAAACTTTTTTAAATTTATTTTTTTGGTGTAGATGGACACAACACAATGCATTTATTTTTATGTGGTGCTGAGGATCAAACCCCAGTCCCGCCCATGCTAGGCGAGCACTCTACCGCTGAGCCACAATCCCAGCCCAACATCTTAAAAACTTGATGAGGCAAAACACAATAAATTTCATGGTTCACTTTTTAAAATACTATAATAACCATTTGTTGCCCCCCCCCTCAAAAAAAGGATCTAAAAGTGAAATAGACAAAATTTAAAAAAAAAAAAAGTAAAAAGAAAATAGTTTTGAATTGAGGGTGCCTGAAATAAGAGAATGTGTTTCTAAACCTCTTTCCAAAACATGAAAATATTGCAAAGTGGAAGAGTATTGACTAAAGATTCCTTTCCACATTCACCCAAAACTTCATGCACTTTTCCTTGCCACCATTAGTTAGCTGCTTCAATGATTAGTGATTGTTCAGAACCCAAGTGAGAGTTATCTTTCTAGAACCCATTGGCTTAGAGCACCTCCTTTGCCGAGAATTTTCTATAACCTTATGGTAGTACAAAAACTTCTGTGGCTAAATAGATGCACAAAGGGACTTATATTTACACAAAAGAAGATGGCAGATGTTTCCTGAGAGTTTGTTGTCTATGAGTTTGATGAGAATGTACGAGTTGGAGCACAAGTATGAGGAAATCGATGTAAAAAACAAGAATGTTCTTCCCACAAACACCATCTAGAAAGCATCAATCTCCTGTCTTTGCCTAGAAACCAACTCTTTCATTACCCTTAATTACTTACCCAGTACTTGTAAATTGAGGGTCGCTGCAGAACATGAGAAGTTTCTATTAAACTTAATTACCTTTCCTTTCATGGCCCTTGAGAGAAATGTCACTACCCAGAAATACAGTTACCCAGGAGACGAACATCTGCACCAGAGCCCATCACTGCCATGCCACCTCCTCTTCCCTCACACCTCTACATCTCACCAGAAACATTATGGACTGGTGTAAACAGACTACGTCAACAGAAGGGAAGATCTTCAGGTGGTAGAAAAAAGTTAACTTGGTAGCCTAGAGAGATTCTGCATTATTGGCTATTAAAAAAATCATCTTCAGAATAATAAAATTCCATAATACTATTCATACTTTATTTACATATACGTATTACATATAAAGAAATCATGATATAGTCAGGCATAGACAAAATAGGCTATGTACACATGAGTGACCAGATGAGTAATTTTCAAGCATAAATGTCACTACAGAGATTCAAAAACAGGGAATCAAGACACCCTAATTTCAAATTTCAATGTATATCTTGCTTGTAAGTTAGAAAGAGGAACACTAACAAATTTTCAAGTAAAATAACAGCTCTTCACAACATAGATGAGCAGTAAGACCTTGGCTTGATAACTGTGACAAGTTTTGATTTAACAGCCAACACAGTGAGTATATGTACACATCTACAGCTACTACACATACAAATGAGTTGCCATTCAATAAATATCTGCAAATGGAGCACAAAAACATAGAAGACCAAATGGATATGTACAGGAAAATCAGAGAGTTGGTGGGGTAGGAAGACAGGAGGCCAAATAACTCTGATATGTGATTGAAAGAGCTAATTATAATCTGAAATCTGATGGATTGAGTGAAGGCACTAAGGGTCTTGCCTCTTATTAGTTGAAGAATGTATTTGACTGGGTTGGAGGAAAAATTCAGTAGATGATAAAACATTTAGAAGGGATTGTTTCTCTGAGAAGCTCAGTCTCACTGACACCTTACTGGGGAAAACAGAAGTACCCTGAAAGAATCAGACCCAGGATGGGTGGAAAAGATGGTAAGAGGGAAGGATCTACAAGACACCTATAGAGGGGAGAAGTCAAGGACAGCAGGAGGCCACTGTGAGTGGGTGGCAGGCAGCACAGTCTCACTGCCAGTAAAGACCACTGAGAGTTCATTGGTGGCTCAGCAAGACTGGCACTCACCATCACAGGGTACCAAGCACCTCAGGCTGGACCTTGTGCCTTGACCCACACCTTACAGAGCAAGGGCTGGCTAGCCAAAGGACCAGCTCACAGTACAAATGAAAAGATAAGGATAGAACTTTGTGAAATGCTAAATTTCCTCTTGTTTTGTGTATCTGCTCTTAATTTTTCTCAGATGCTTGAAAAAGACCCTGGAAAAAAAAAGCTAAAATCAAAAAGGGGAGAAACTTTTGTCCTTAACTAAGTTGGCCAAGGACATATTTGGAAGACAGTTGTCAAAGCCATGCCTCATTATGCCTAACACAGGATTTCCCAACTACCTGTGAGTCATTGTGCCCTCATCTGAAGGGACACGGCAGGGAGGTAACAGTAGGGGGCAAGCGCCAATGCTCCTAGCTAGACAGGGCTATAAAGAGAGACTGTGTGTGTCTGAGGGTGGGGAGGGGGAGATGAAAAGCTAGATATTATTTTCTTGAAGTTTCTGAGACGGCAAAGAAAAAGTACATAAGATACAGATAAGTAAGGATTTTATTAGGTACAAATAAAATAGGTTTTCAGCATAAGCTCTATGAATGGAGGAGCTGAGTGTGTGTTTATTGCTACCACCCATCATCTGCTACGGTGGGGCACACAGTGTTGTGTTTCGTAAACATATTTTAATTGGAGAGGTGAAGGTAATAAGAGACACTGGGAATTATGGGAAGAAGGCTAAAATTAAACGGAACACCCCAAGTCAGCCCCTGAGATACAGCCTCATTCAAACAGCAGCCATCGTCATGTGCCTTAATCTAAACCAGGAGGGGACAGAGGGCCTGAAGCGCACTTATTTAAACAGAGCACACAGGAAATGAAGCTCTGGATGTAAAATTTTTAAATGATAGACGCTCTCAGCAAGGACATTTTACAAAATGTTCAGAATGATGCATAAAGAAGTGATAAATCGTGAATCACCATGGTATCCACACAGCACATATTAAATGCAGTAGAGTGAGAGTTTTACATGTGGAAAGCTACAAAATCAGTCACAAAATACCTTTAAGTTTTTCTCCTTGTAATGCTGATTCTCATTTAAATATGTTCTCACCATGACTTCCGTCTACTCTTTCCTCAACCTAGGGTGCCCTCAGAACAATCTTACCACTTCTTCCCTAAAGTAGCCTTTCAGATATGTGTGGTTCTTCAAAATGCTTCTGAACATAGAAGTCAGCAAGATGACTTTATAACTGCTAAGGAAATTAATTCTTAAATAACATAAAGAAATAAAACAATAATTAATACAAACATAGGCTACAAATTCCAAGGCCTGGCCAAGGCAAGTCTGTTCCATTAAGGTCTGGATTTAGCAAGATCTTCTACTTACACGTTCATTTCCTGCAAATTCTCAGCTGCAAAATAGAAGGTCTTGATCTGTGGATGGTTGATCTTAAATGCACTTGAAGAGGGAAAAACACAAACATATAAGAATTAGTACTTGCATTTATCAGTGGGTCTGTAAGTAAATAAAATACAAATAAAACAGTCATCTTAAATAACTGCTTTCTTTATAAGTTTACAAAAAAAATTATTCGATTAAATACCTATTGTCTAGTCCTTATTTTAGTTAGGGTGCTAATGGTCAATTTCCATGTCAAGGCTGCGTCTTAGTGTTAGTTTCCATTTAAAACATAAGGGCATAACCTTTTGTTTCCACTTGCTAACTGCTTTATGATAAGGATACAGTAAGTTAGAATTGAGATTCACAGAGGTGTCAAATACTCATATCAACGCCTTCACATTAAGCATTGATTCAAATTCAATCAAATCTACAGCAAAATTTTATTTACAGGAAAATAATCAGATATGGAACCTCCACACACAACAAGTCCTCAGAAACCTTATCTAAGGCATGATGCGTTCATTATTAAAGGGAACATGGGAAGTGGATTTGGGTTTAAAGAAGACATATGAAACACTGAAGATAACAAACAATAAAGTGTTTCCCCTTTACCATTTAGACCGGAAGTCCTGCAGAACAGGACAGTTTTTTTTAAAGACCCACTCAAAAACCACAGGCATCAACACACTGCATGTATCACGAAACACGCTGCTAGGCCAGAATGTCAAAGAATTAGAGCCAACACTGGTTTATTAATTTCTTATGAGAAAACAACAAATTACTGCAACTAGTAACAGATGAACGAGGAAATGCCCCTTTCTGATAAGACTGGAAAAGAAGCCAAAGGTAGAAGAATAGGAGAGGTGAAAGAAAACGGAAAGAGCAAACTACATCAGGAGATCTCATGGGAAGGCACTTGACTAAGAGGCTGGGGACCACAGTCAGAGCCAGCTCTGCCCAGAGCCCTGGGCGGGTCACACAGACTCTCCAGGCTGCTCCCTCCTTAGGAGACAAGCACCGTGAGCAGGGGACTGCTCTGTTTCTGCCAGTTATCAAATCTCTGGGACGTAAACTACATCAGGGTGCAATCCCAAGTTTAAGACATCTCAGAGAGTTCACTTCCACATGAGCAAGGAGATTCTGGTCCAACATGATGCCTTCAATGTCATCCGGTAAGACTCCTTCACCTTCTGTTCTTCTCTTTATAAGGTCAAAACCTTGACATTTGACCTTGCCAGCCCCAGATGGGAGCACACTTTTCTCTCCATTGCACACTCAGTTATCAACGACATTCTTTGCCAAGGCTTCATGGGGGTTTGAAAACCCATCTGCTCCACAAAATGAAATGCCAGAAAGCAAGAGGTTATATATTTCTATGAGTGTCTAGGGTGCCAACCCATGATGCTCAAAATTCTCAGACATCTGAGCATTGCCTTCACTCACTTCCAATTCACCACATCACCTGGTGGACATTAAAAACAGTTATTATCCCAGCTCAGGGTTTTGTGGAAGGTAAGAGACGACTTACTGCTTTTTCTTGCATTCAGATGCTCTTTCCACGGTGAAATCAGGCAGGTTCACAAATCCATCAGCTTTCTCTGCCTGAAACAAACACATGCCACAAACAGAAATAGATACATCAGCCCGAGGGATTAATCTACTGAGATCATCTACATGGAATAGAGATCATTTAAATGAAGTGAGGTAGAATCCAATGGACCTCCTCAAACCAGCATTAATTAACTATGAGCTTATCCCAGATACACTGTTCATAAGGAAATTAATTTCTCATCATTAGTCACCCAGAATCTTTTTGTGAGAACTGTGACATGCTCAGGGATGGTCAATGTGTTTCAGTCTTGGGGGAGGCCACAAAGCCCACCACCAGAGTCCTACTTCCCGCTGGGCATAGGCACCCTCAGCCTACCACTAGCACCCTGACTTTGGAGTTAGCACATCTACATTCCTACCATGGATCTTTCTCTAGGTGGTTGTTACGGCTTTAATGAGCCCAGATAAATAAAACACTTAGCAGACAAAACAAACATTATTCCCTCTCTGGAGACTGAAAGCAGTGTTTGGAGAATAAAGCCCAGAGCCACATCCTGCACAATCTCAGTTCCATCATCGATTCCTATAAAGGAAAGACTTCAGGGGGGAAATGATGGTTCTGAGGACATAGCATCAATGTTGCTGGAAATCATCAAAAATTTCACAGGACATGTAATTATGCTACCTCTCTATGAATTCATTAATCTATATTTTGTGAAGAACTATTTAACTGAGCCACAAGGAAGCCAGATTGTCATAAATGGAATGCAAATCTCTTTTTATCTACACTGATGTCTCTGAGTGGAGAAATTCAGTCCATAAGATTAAACATGGATGAGTCAGTGGTTATGGGACTATGAGTAAAAGTTGATTTGGAAAATACTACCTTAATTTTAAAAGTCAGCTAGCTATTCAATTAGTGCCATGGGTGCTCTCAGTTCACCTCCTTGTTCATCTCTTTTTCTTACTAACAACTAGAGGGCAACTTGCACTCTTTTCTTCAGAAACATTAAACTATGAGACATTCAACCTTATTCGCATCATCTGTCTCCTGCATGACTTAGTTTATTCCATTCTTCATCTACAATGGCTTCTTCTTATAAAAATAAAAACTCAATTTTAATGAGCACATCTTCCTTTAAATATATATACATGTGCCTATACTTAATGAATATATATTCAAATATATATATATATATATATATATATATATATATATATATATATATGTTTGCATATATTTGCACCTTATCTCTTGATGGGCTGCTTAATTACCACATGGTGGTTTCACCAATCCTGTCTGAAAGGGAATAATAAAGTATGCAAAGAGCTTAGACTGTTTAAGTCACTTTTGTACAATTCACAATGCCTCCTGTGGATTCTCCACTAACAGTATATGAAAATATAGTCCTGAAAAACTGGTTTGTTCTATCAATTCCAGTTCTAGAGATATGCTCAAAGGAAGCAAAAATGAGGACAGTCAAATAAATGAACAGACATGTGTGATCATGGGAATGATATTCACAACAGCCAATACTCATCAATAAATGATGGATAAACAAATCATAATATTCCTTTATATATCCATATAAAGTAATATTATTCAATTGTGAAAAATTATTAAGTACTGGTAAATGCCACATAAATGAATCTTGAATATATTATGTTAGGTAAAAGAAATCAGATACAGAATGTACCAGATTACATGATTCCATCTATATGGTGTATTTATGGTGTATTTGGATTAGGAAATGCATAAAGATAGAGTACAGCTTGATAGTTCCCAGGCACTGGGGCAGTGAGGTATGGGGAGCAACTGCTAAAAGGCTATGGATTCTCCTTTTTGTGTGATTTAAAATAGTTTGGAACTAGATAGAGGAGGTGGTTCCACACCATTGTGAATGCACTGAATCATTTAATTTAAAATAGTTAATCTTATATTATTTCCTTCTCAATGAAAAAAAAATCAATGTTATGCTAAGGTAAAATTCCCATAACTGATTTAGAAAGAGAAAAATTATTTATCCTCAACATTTGTTTTGACTTCCTCCTCCCATTCAATACCATGCTCATTGTAAAAAAAAAAAAAAAAAAAAAAAAAAACTGTAGAAACTATGGACCTCAATGCTTTCCAAGTCACTGAGTCCCATCCACCACTTTGGCTCCCACTGAACTCTGGGACCTGACACTATAGCCCGTCCCCTCCCTCTGCAATGAATGCCCTGCCACCTTGGCTTTTCTGACAACATATTACCACTGCCTCGTTTTGCTCGAAACAGATCTTTCCTTCCTCTCTTCCAAGCCTATTTTTAAAGCTCAAGGTTCCCCAGGGTTCTCTCCACACACCTGTACTCTTCTTGTTCCAGTGCTCCCTGGGGTGAGCAGTGCTCTCCCGTGGCTTCAGGTATCCTCATTGTACACACATATCCAAAATCTTGTCTTCAAATTGCATTTCAGCCCTTGGCGCTCCTGTCTCAGATTTCCAAAGCCTGGTCATATGGATATTCCATGAGTTCCCCAAGAGTGACAAATCCAAAACCAAAGCCGTCGTCTTATTCCACAAAATGCCCACTGCTCTTTCTCCTGTGCTCTCTTACTCAGTGAGCAACACCACTTTCCATCCAGACGCAAGAGAGAGAAGGAAATCTGGGAGACATTCATGATTCTTCCAACCAGACCAGCTCTGGTCTGAATACCGCTGGTCCCCACCAACACTCAGGTTAAGGCTCAATCCCCAAGATGGCAATGGTCGGAGGTGACTAGGTCATTAACAGAAATTAACATTTTTTTATGGGAGTGAATCTCATTTTCTTGGAACTAGATAGGTGGCTGTGAGAGTGAGCTGTTAAAAAGGAAAGCCAGCCTGCATGCTGGACCCCTTTAGCACCCACACATCCCCTTTCCACTTTTCTGCCGTGAGTTGAGTAGCAAGTGGCCCTCACCAGAAGCTGAACAGATGCCAGCACCATGCTCTTGCATCTCCAGTTCTGACCAAATCTCGTTTCTTCATGCATTCCCCGGCCTCTGGATGTTTGTTATAGAAATTTGACTAAGGTAATTCACTTCTCAGAATCCAGGTATGAAAAAAACACAGTATTCCACTGCTTCAAACAACATAAATCTGAATCATTGCTTCCTCTGTCACAGATTGTTAATCGATTTACTACCTCCTACCTCTTTCAGATCACCATTAACTTTTTCTTGAATAACTCCAAAAGTCTCCTATTCTTCTTCCTAATTCTCTTCTCCTATTCAATTTGGTGTCCAAATCACAGTGACAGGGAATCTATACCATGAACATTTTTTTTTTTTTGGTACTGGGGATTGAACTCAGGAACACTCAGCGGCTGAGCCCCATCCCCCTATTTTGTATTTTATTTAGAGACAGGGTCTCACTGGGTTGCTGAGTGTCTTGCCACTGCTGAGGCTGGCTTTGAACACGTGATCCTCTTGCCTCAATCTCCGGAGCCGCTGGGATTGCAGGCATGTGCCACCCGTTCCCGGCTCACCTCATGAACATTCTTCACGTCACTTCTCTAATTAAAACTCTGCATGGTTCCCGATTTCCCTCAGATAAAGTCTAACTGTCTTAGAGAGGCCTTTTATGTTAATCCCTTATTGTTCTACAATTTCATCTTCTCCAATGCTCCTACCCTCTGTTCATCAAAAGCAAACAGAAAAAACAAAACAAACAAATCACAATACTTCCGTGGAGCTGAATTAGAAGTGACATCCAAGTTGTGGCATGATCAGTCTCTAAACAATTTTATTCCGTACAAAAAGCCCGTCTCAAATGACAATAATATAAAATTCGATCCAAAATGAAACATACGTATATATGCTCTTGCCCATATTTTTATTCATTTAAAAATAAACCAGTGTAAAAGACTTGCATATCTTCACTTGGGTGGATTCCTTTTCTGCATTATTGAAATGGCTGAAATTTTTTCAAACAGGACCCCAAATAAATTTGAGTGAAGCCCTTCTTTAGTGTTCCCCAGTGAATCCTCCCTTTTATAAGCAGAGGCTTCTCTCTCTCTCTCTCTCTCTCTCTCTCTCTCTCTCTCTCTCTCTCTCTCTCTCAGACATTTGAGCTGTATTCAAAGTCACAGACAACTGTGTCAAAAATGGTCCTTGCTTATTTGACTTGCAAAAAAATAAAAAGCCTTAGAAATGACAAGCACAGTGGGTAAATCTTGAGGGAATGACAGTTTTCTCCTTTTCCTCCTCCTACCCCTTTCAGATCCCTTGTTGCCTGTTATATTAACTAAAATAACTTGCTTGAATGGTATCCTTTTAATGATTCCTAACTTTCTAAAGAGGTACTTGACAGTTATGCATCGGTGCCCGCAAACTTCCCTCTGAATTATAACACAATGAAGACTGTTCTCTCGCCAAAACTACCAAACCATCTCTGGCCCGTGTGCAAACTTGTCTCACCAAATCCAGTCCTAAATTCTGAAGCAACACCACACCTCTCACTTGGTGATACGATGCTCTCTGCCGATATAATGACCACAGAGGCCTCCCTACCTCTTTCCCCAGCATCTCTGATTTTGTTCACCTTGGTACAACGACATTAGCAGTTGCTGTCCTTAGGAAGCATTAATTCTCACTATTATCAAAATTGCTCATGTTAAAATGATGGGGGGCATGGAATAAGGTGCTGATAACTTCTCTCATGTCATGAATCACCAATATTTATATCTCCTCTAAACATTCTGCTCTCATTTACCTACGGTGCTTTACACACTCACGGATTCAACAAATATGGATCAAGTGCCCTCTTCACACCAGGCACCGTGCCAATATATGGAATATATTAGTGGACAAACCAAAGACCCATGCTCTCAGGGAAAGAGACAATCAGCTCAACGTGTAAACACATAAATTACATGGCACCTGGTAGACAGTAATTCCTATGGGGAAAAAAGTGAATTTGGTCAGTGTAAAGGAGTTGCAGAGTGTGCGCAGGACAGGGGCCTGCTTCAGCCTGGGCCACATGGCCCTCTCCTCACTCTGATAAGTTTCCAAGACTCAACATAGGTGGG